CGGTTTGTCCTTACCTGGGTCGTGACCTGAAATTATATCAGGTCAACACATTGACACATAGCTGTAAGTGAGTATAATTCGCAATCTTTACATTTTTCTAAATATTCAGATAAAACAGAAAGTAAAAATTTATTCCGCTACCGTGTTAAAAACTTGTTATGTATACCAGAGTGGCCTGGCATGGCCAGGTGGTTAGTGCGCTCGACTTGCATCTGCGGGTCGCGGGTTCGAATCCACGTCCCACCAAACATGCTCGCCCTTTCAGCCGTGGGGGGGCGTTATAATGTGACGGTCAATCCCACTATTCGTTGGTAAAAAAGAGTAGCCCAAGAGTTGGCGGTGGGTGATAATGACTAGCTGCCTTACACTGCTAAATTAGGGACGGCTAGCGCAGACAGCCCTCGTGTAGCTTTGCACGAAATTCAAAACAAATATATACCAGTACTGTGTTATGGATATGAATGTGTTACTAGCTAATAAATAAAATTTTTTGGTTTTTAACTTTGTGTAACTTTCTTCATGATTTACTTTTTTATTCAAGTGTCGTTTTACAGCTAGTCTAGAACAAACTTTTACAGTACAGCAAAAGCCGTAACATTGTCACGTCCACTAATACGGTAAAAAAATGAATTCTGTTTAACTTAACGTGAACTTTTATAAACCACAAAAATGATATTGTCTCCGGATCAACGCCCTCTAACGTTGAACCGTAACTGGTAGACTAGGAATCCCGTGGTAGTTATGTCCTAGCTCGAGGATAGGGATGGGGAGGAAGGTTATTACTTATTTAAATTAAACTACCGAAGATGATCCCTGGGTTTGACAGGAGCTTTAATTTATCCACGGATTTTAAACACGGCTCTAGTTTATGTGTATGGTCTCAGTGTCTAGCGCATCTGTTAGTGATATCAAGTCGCACGCGAGACTGCAGCACGAGCAGAGTTAGTGTCCTGATAAGATTTACGAGCACTGCAAGGCAAATCGATACGGTGTAATGTTGGACTTACAAGGCAGCCTTGTGTTCGGCCTCAAGGCATCACATACAATGTGGAGGGCTCGGGCTTTGAGATTATGACGCTGGTCTTTATAAGTGATCTTAGAAGCCATGTCGGTGTCATGTTCAGTTCGTTAGTGATGTATATCAGCACCTTGTGAGTAGAGGGCGTTGACGTCAAAGTAGCTCTTTTGATTTTGTTTCAATATAAGTTTAAGATATGGCCAACCATCCAGAGCACAGTAACCAGGGGGTTAATCTTTCGTGTCACCATACCTACGTAACGTGTTTAGAAAGTTTCATCAATAGGAGTGATAAAAATTTGATATTCATCAATATGCTAGCTTATTCCTTCCAATACGATAATTTGTTATAAATATTTACGAGAAATTAATAGCAACGCCAAACATAAGTAATTGATTAACATTTATATTGTACAAACAACCTCGGGGAAATGGGGAAAACCTATACATCGTTAGTAGACACGATTATTTAACGTTTACGTTAAAACAGTTATAGTCTTCACATTCAAGACTTGAGTCATGTTTACAGTTATAGAAAAGTTTGTGCTAATCTATAAGAAATGTATTTTTTATATGAAATTAACTAGTTAATTTTAGGTTCATTAATAAAATAATATTAAACACACATGCCCGCCAGTGGCACAGCGGTATGTCTGGGAACTTACAACAATAGAATCCGGGTTTCGATACCCGTGGTGGGCAGAGCACAAATAGTCCATTGTGTAGCTTTGTGTTTAATTACAAACAAAAATAAACACACATAATATATCAATGTTTATTAAATAACGTGTAAAAGAAACTTCACGTATTATGAGTTCCGAAACATTCTCACCTCAGATTACCATGGTTACAAGATTCGTCCTCTTCCGATCTTTTTGCCCAATTTTATAAATTATTATAAAGAAGAAAAAATAGGTTGACTTTCAAAATGATTTAAAGAAATGTAGTTTAAAAAGATTTATTTCTATGTTTTTGTTTTGTTTTTATAAATCTTCTGGACTTTAGAAAACATTAGGTAAATAAAAAACATTTATCTAAAATGTAGATATCTGAATTAATCAAGAATTAACATTAACACAATCAGAACTGCATATTTTAAATAATAGTTAACGTACGTTAGAACGAAACGCTCAGTTTCCCAAAAACTCGGATGAAATAATACTATTTTGGCTAATAGATGGCAGCAGTTGCATAATCGCTATGTATTTTACTTGGGCCAAACTCAGCCTACGTGCCTCGTTACCGAAAAGAAAATCGCGCTTCGCCCTTTGGATTCATGGGTGCGTCAAATCCCACCATTCGGTCTGCGAAGAGTAGCTCAAGAGTTGGAGATGGGTGATTTTGACTAGCTGCCTTTCCTCCAGTTTATCACTTCAAAACTGGGGAAGGCTAGCTCAGGAGCTTTGCACGAAATTTGAATAAAAACAAACAAAAAATCTACTTTTCGTAATTCCTATAACTTGTTCGTTGAACTTCGCGCAAATCTACTCGAGTGATATCTGCGCTAGCCGTCCCTAATTAAGAAATGATAAACTAGAGGAAAGGCAGCTAGTCAACACCACTCACCGCCAACTCTTGGGAAACTCTAATCGAATTGTGAGATTTGCCGTCACATTATAACGCCCACAAGGTTGAAAGGTGGAACATGATCGGTGATATGATTCGAATCGCAGATTGCGAGTCAAGCGCCATAACCAACAGGCTATGGCAGGCCCCATTTATACAAAGAGAGTCATACGACGAATAAATAACAGTAATTTTCGCTGAAAATGAGACCCAGGAACATCAAGACTCGGGGAAAAAATAAGACATAAGCAGCAAGTTAAACACTAAAAAAATGAGGGTTTAAGCAGCGAGTAAAAATCTATAGAAATTAGCAGCAATGTTTAAGCAGAAATGTGAGTTTAAGCAGCAAGTAAAACTCTAAAGAAATGTGGGTTTAAGCAACAAGTAAAACTCTATAGAAATGTGGGTTTAAGCAACAAGTAAAACACAAAAATTGTGAGTTTAAGCAGCAAGTAAAACCATATAGAAGTAAGAATTTAAGCAGCAAATAAAACTCTATAGAAATGTGGGTTTAAGCAACAAGTAAAACATAAAAAATGTGGGTTTAAGCAACAAGTAAAACACCAAAAATGAGGGTTTAAGCAGCGAGTAAAAATCTATAGAAATTAGCAGCAATGTTTAAGCAGAAATGTGAGTTTAAGCAGCAAGTAAAACTCTATAGAAATGTGGGTTTAAGCAACAAGTAAAACACAAAAATTGTGAGTTTAAGCAGCAAGTAAAACCATATAGAAGTAAGAATTTAAGCAGCAAATAAAACTCTATAGAAATGTGGGTTTAAGCAACAAGTAAAACACAAAAAATGAGGGTTTAAACAGCGAGTAAACCCTATAGAAATGTGAGTTTAAGCAACAAGTAAAACCCTATAGAAATATAAGTTTAAGCAGCAAGTAAAACCCTAAAAAATGGAAGTTTAAGCTGCAAGTAAACCCCTAAAACAGGCGAGTTTAAGCAACAAGTAAATCCCGGCGAAGTTCGACGTCTTAGGCAACATTTGCTTGATGTCACAACTGCCAAATTTCACAAAGTCCTAAAATTATTCACCAAAATAAGTTATTATAATAAATAACAGTAAATCAGTCTCATAACATCAATAGTGTGTGTGTGTGCGTGTTTGTTCGTTTAAATGTTACGACAATAAAACATACAAATAAAAGAGTAGAGTATGTTCAAGTGCGGGTTAACATTGTATGTATTGTTAATTAGCGGGTTAACACTGTATAGATTGTTAAAGAACAGGTTATCAGTAGTATAAATTGTTAATATGAGAGTTATCATTAATATAGTTTGGTTCGTGTGCAAGTTATCTTAAGATAAACTGTTAATCTGTGGATTACCGCAGTATACATTCTTAATGTACAAGTAACCATTGTATTATTTGTTAATTTGCAGATTATCACGTTCGAGTTTGTTAGTCAGTGCACGAGTTAGGTTTCGACGGTTTCAGAAAATTATCTGATTCAGTCATCCAGCCTGGAACTACGAAAGGAAAAATACAGTTCATACTAGTTCTTGTTCATTAGATACTTCTTCTTTATTTTGTAAAATGAACATTCTATTCGTTAATTTATTGTTGTTGTTTTTTTTTTTTTTCAATTACCTTAATGGTTAAAGTGATAGGGTAAATACAAGTCATGTCAAAGATGACAAAATCAACTATTACAGGAAGCTCAGAACAGTCTGGTGATATAATAGTGGTGCATAGTGGTGCCATCTGCCGGACATTGCTGGAACGATTATCACTCTAACACTTTTATTATTATTATTTATTTATTTGTGAAGTAAAATTTCACGAAAATGGTATCTTATTATACGTAAATTTGCTAGTTTTATTATGGTGTGCTACATAACTTGGGATGGATAACACAAAGTAAGCATCCAGAAAAGGAATTAACGGAATGTCGCGAAACAGTAATGTTAAAAAGGGAGCCGATAAGGAGTAGACAAGACATATGGTGATCCATTCCTTAACTTGTTGCTGATACCGTCTCGTGAGTGTAAGACTCGCGTAAACAGCGCGCTTATTAATGTACGTCATTTGTCACTGTCACGTGATAATGGTGTGTTTTCTACCGAGATGTCGCTCGACTTTCAGAAGACTTGGGCAGGCTATAGCTTGACACTTCTATTCATCTCCCCTACCCCCTTTTCCATCCACCAGGCCTACTCATAACATCCATGTATTTAACCTTTCCCCTCCCCCTCAACTTTTCACGTGCGAGTTTAGTAGGCTAAGGCTCAGGCCTTTCTTAGACAGTATATTTTTACATGGAAGTTGTAACGATAATTAGCACCAAGATCCGGGCAACATGAGTCTAGCTTCAAACTGCTGAATGTATTTATGACAAGTGCGTAATATTAAACGAACCGTTGAAGAAGGGAAAGCACAAGATGGGTGGGAGGAGGAGAAGAACAGGGGGAGTGCAAGCCCGAAGTGAACAATACTATAAAAGGCGCCTAATATTCTATCCAAGAGATCCTCACATTCTTCAAGGGCTGCTTTCTAGTATGACAGTCATCTAGAAATAAAAACAAATCTGTATTTTTCCATTTCATAATAACTTCAATAATTTATGTTCTTTTTAATCTTAGGCGGAGAAAAGAAATGACATTTTTTTATCATCAAAAAATTATCAAATTTTTCATGATCACGAAATACTTTATACGTACGCTAAAGCGCCCTCTGTCTTCTCATGCACGTTTAGCACATTCCTCTCATATTAAATGTGTTTAAGTTTTCGCGTGACTTATCAAACATCAACGAGCTAATAGATGTTTTTTTTCTATTTATTTATTCAGAAAATAAAACGTTTATTCTAGCATACATATCCAAGAATGTGACACTTTTTACACACAAGAACGTGCAAAAGAAATGATTTATTTGCTGTAACAAAAAAACTAATAAAAAATCAGTATTCGTGCACCGTATTTTCTGGTGAGAGTATGAGTTGGTAGAAAAGGTGTGATTATTCATAATCACGAAGTCTCACAGAAATCGTGTGAAACAACGAACATCTGCTATCGGTGAAAATCCTCTCCAAGAGTAGACAGATCGTATATTAAAAAGTCACTGAATAAGCCCATTATTATAAGAGGTAATTAACCTACAAGTCTGTTGCCACAAGACTATGGTGTGTCCATTTGTATGCAAGAATGGGACAGACAGCGGTGTGAGGTCTAGCATGTTATGATAGCGATGTTGAGGAACTGAAGTCTGCTGTGTTATTAGGCACTGTTTAATGAAGAGCTCGGGAAGGCGGGCTGGGAAAGGGTTTTTTTTTCGTGAGAAACTGGTACAGAGGATTTTTCTGATGACATAAATAATGGCCTGCATCGTCACAATGGTCACGAACAGTATAACAGAGAACAGAATAAGTATCTAAGCAACGTTCTTCTGTTTCTGTTTCCAAGTTTTATTTGGAATGATGACCTAACCCTAAAATATGAGCTTTTGGCACCGTGTAATTTAGTATTCTTTTTTTTTGTACTTGAATAATTGAACCAAAAATGTCTTAATAGACACCCGCGGGGCACTTAGTTTTCTCTGTTCCTAAGCAACCAATAAATAGTAAAAGAAAGAACGCGTGTAAAACCCTCAATGGCGATGAACGTTGCATCTAGGTATGGATGAATCTTTATTTTAAAATATCCCGCAAACGTTTTGTGTACATCTTAGATATTTTTTAATTAGAATGAAATTTCAAGAATATGTAGTTACTTATACATGGCCTTTAGGATACGCCCAATAATATAATATCCAATCTGGGATACGTATTGAACTACTTTAAGTTTGAAAGGAAATGTGCACAACCAATTAAAGTTTCTAGTCTTTTAATGCTTGGATACGGCTTGAATGGGTAATGAAGAAAAACTTTAATATAAGTTTAACGAAGTTTTGTCCTGATAATGTACCTGATGATGACAAAACCTTGTTAAACTTATATCAAAGTTTTTCTTCATTACCCATTCAAGCCGTCTCTAAGCATTATTAGTCTCAAAGTGGGTTCCTCGTCATCGAATTTTCTAGTCTTTAGTTTTCAATACTTAACGCCCTCTGGTGGATCAGTAGTAAGTCTGAAGCTTTATAACGCTAAAAATCCGGAGTATAGTGAGTGGAGTATAACTTTGTATTTAATGGCAGATATGTAAAGTGTGCTTAACCAGCATCGGAAATTTTAATTAAAGTAGCCACGACTCTTGTTTCAAAGCTCACCCCCCCCCTAATTTTAATTAAAGTAGCCACGACTCTTGTTTCAAAGCTCACCCCCTAGTTTTAATTAAAGTAGCCACGACTCTTGTTTCAAAGCTCACCCCCCTAATTTTAATTAAAGTAGCCACGACTCTTGTTTCAAAGCTCCCCCCCCCCTAGTTTCGTAAAAGTCACTTTCATTCATGAAATTGTAACACGTATTTCATAAGAAGCAATAAATATTTTTAAAACAATAATATTATTCAACTGATTAACCTCATATACCATTTACTATGAACAATACAGTCACTCCAAACAAAGTTGTGTGTTTGGAGAATAAAGCGTGCTTGAAACTGGTGTCCCCCATCATATGAATATTTTGGATTCGGTAATTAAGATCTAGTGAGATCGGGTAGTAGTACTATTATTTGACTATCATTCTTATAACGCATACAGGCCCCAAAGTGTGGAACGCTCTCTGGTTTTTTTTTTGTTGTTTTGTTTTTTAAATAAGTGTTGTTCTATAGAAGCTATTGTTACATATCGTAAACCTAAACTATCTTATAGGCTCATAATGTGATTGTCATGTAGGTGTAAAACACTACGTATAGTGTTTTAAAGAGTATGCATTGTTGATGACCCTTGACCTTTCCACTTTAGAATACGTTATGGAGAATTAGTAGGTAACTTTTAATAAAAATATAACTCTAGTGGCTTATAACAATAAAAATCGGGTTTCAATACCCGTGGTGAGTAAAGTACAGATATCCCATTACGTATCTTTGTACTTAATACCCGTGGTGAGTAAAGTACAGATATCCCATTACGTATTTTTGTACTTAATACCCGTGGTGAGTAAAGTACAGATATCCCATTACGTATTTTTGTACTTAATACCCGTGGTGAGTAAAGCATAGATATCCCATTACGTATTTTTGTACTTAATACCCGTGGTGAGTATATAGTACAGATATCCCATTACGTATTTTTGTACTTAATACCCGTGGTGAGTATACAGTACAGATATCCCATTATGTATTTTTGTACTTAATACCCGTGGTGAGTAAAGCATAGATATCCCATTACGTATCTTTGTACTTAATACCCGTGGTGAGTGGAGTACAGATATCCCATTATGTATTTTTGTACTTAATACCCGTGGTGAGTAGAGTACAGATATCCCATTATGTATTTTTGTACTTAATACCCGTGGTGAGTAAAGTACAGATATCCCATTATGTATTTTTTTATTTAATAACCGTGGTGAGTAAAGTACAGATATCCCATTATGTATTTTTGTACTTAATACCCGTGGTGAGTAGAGTACAGATATTCCATTACGTATTTTTGTATTTAATAACCGTGGTGAGTAAAGTACAGATATCCAATTATGTAGCTTTGTACTTAACAACAGCCAAACGCAAGGAAGAAATAAAATTATTTTTATAATTACAATTTAATGACTGAACATTGATGAGGAGTTCAGAAAAGTTTTTATCCAAATAACAAACAACAGAAATTTAAAAAAAAAGATACATTTTTAAAGAGAAATTAGCTAAAATTAAATCAAGAAAAAAAAAAACGAGAAGAATTTAACATTTACGAAGGTAAAAGAAATTTAACCACTTTATAAAACTTACAAAGATTTTTCGAGAAGGAAATGTTTGGTTTGTTTTGAATTTCGCTACACAATGGGCTATCTGTGCTCTGCCCACCACGGGTATCGAAACCCGGTTTCTAGCGTTGTAACTCCGCAGACATACCGCTGTGCCACTGGGGGGGGGGGCAGAGCTACACGAGGTCATCTGCGCTAGCCGTTCGTAATTTAGCAGTGATAAACTAGAGGGAAGGCAGCTAATCAACACCACCCACCGCCAACGCTTAGGCTACTCTTTTACCAACGAATAGTGGGATTGACCATCACATTATAAGGCTCCCTCGGCTGAAAGGACGAGCATGTTCAGTGTGACCTGGATTCGAACCCGCGACCTTCAGACTGCGAGTCGAGCGCCAACCACCAGGCCATGCCGGGCATAAAAGAGAAAGAAAAGGGACAGCAGCCCGAAATGTTTCCTCATTATTCGACGAAAAAGAATAACGTGGAAGAAAAATATAACAGAAAAGAAACCCAAGAAATGCCTGAAAGATAACATACAAATCTTTTAGTATCGCCCCCCCCCCAGTGGCACAGCGGTATGTCTGCGGACTTACAACGCTAGAAACCGGGTTTCGATACCCGTGGTGGGCAGAGCACAGATAGCCCTTGTGTAGCTTTAGTATCATTCCAATTTATCGCCAACCAGATATTAATTTTCCATAATATTGTTGTTAATTATTTCTGCTTTACTTTGAGTATCTTGCAGTTGCGCCCTAGATTTAAAGTTCGGTCTTTGATCGTAAAAGGATAGTTATTTTTATTTTATTTTTACGGTATGTTTTATTTTGGGGGGGGGACAGGGGACTAGGTATCTTTTGTTCAACGAGGAAGATCCGAACCGCTGGATTATACTGAGCTCTTTATTCTTAGCGAGACTTTTAATTGGTCTTCGCCGCCGTATCTTCACACCAAACGCCGCTTGACCCCGTGCAGTAAGCCTGTAATGCTATGTCAAGCGCTGCCATAAAATAGTTCTTCTTATGGTTCAAGGTGTGTCAGAACAATCCATAAATTCATTAGTTTCAGACATAAATCTGTTCGCGTTTCCCTCTGTTCATTCATAAAAAACTTCTTCATCCCTGATGAGCTAGTCCTACACGGTTTAATCACGCTACAATAACTTATGCATAGAGGTAACAACGACATTACGTTTTTCGCGTGGGCCGACACCTATTGGGCCAGCTTCTTAACGTTGTCTGTTTCCTCTCCACGTGTTGCTGGTGTTAAGAAATTCATCATCGATTAATGCGTGTAACCTAAACTTCTTGTCAAGTTATATAAAAAGCATGAAGAACAGTACGTTTTGTCCTTACCATGATGCACCTGTTAGATTCATGAGCGTCGAGTAAAAAATGTAAAAAAAAAAAACAACAACAACAGTGAAACGTCATACTGAACTGAAGAAATTCCAAAACACATAGCTTCTCTGTCCAACGCCACCTGTTTATATCTTGGTAGTCATTTGTCTTACGTCTCACCCTCTATTAATAAAATAAAGCATTACGTGACACCCTACTCATACATAAGATATACCCACTACCCTTGGTTCCTCAGTTCCTTTTAATATATTAAAACGTTACTTCACTTCCTTCGGGTAATACATTAAAACGTTACTCCACTTCCTTCTGGTAATACACTAAAACGTTACTCCACTTCCTTCGGGTAATACACTA